TCATTCACTATGGTAAGATTTTTTTGTTCCACATTTACTTTCTATAGAGTCCTTGGTATCGGCTCCTCTTTTTATCCCTCCCTCCCGCCCTCCACCCTCATGGCCCCTTGATAGATTGTACATTATTATTATTTTTTTTATATCTCACACCGACCAGTCTCCCTTTCCCCATGTTTTCTGTTGTTCTTCCCCGTGTAGAGCAGTGTATGGATGGTTATGTGTCCATCATTGCGATCAGTTCCCCCTTTCTCCTTTCCTCTCCCCACTTACCCCTCCCCTCCCCTTCTGGTATCGCTATTCCCCCTCCTGTTTCTGGATTCCATGTGTCGTGAGCTCCCATCTCTTATCTATACCTGTTTACATGCTCTGGTCTAACCTAAATTGAGAAGCAGCACTGGGGTCAAGGTAGTGGGGGTGAGGAAGCCTCAAGGAACCAGAGGAATATTGTGTGTTTCATCCATGCTTTACTGCACTGTGTTACATTCATCCTTTCCCTGTGGCCCCTGTTGGAATTGTTCCATTGTCTACAGATGGGCTTTGGATCTCTGCTCCAACCCCCCTCGTTCTCAACAATGTTTTTGTTTGTTTGTATATGTCTTCTGATGCCTATTACCCGGTCCCAATGACTTCTCAGGATCGCACTGGCAGTGTGCTTCTTCCATGTGGGCTTGTTGCTTTTCTGCTGAATGGCTCCTTGTTTAACTTCAAGCCTTTAAGGGTGTAGGTTATTCTTAAGCTACATATGAGCCGATGATACTGTTTTATTTTAAAATAATTTAAAATTCATAGAAACCAATTAATACATCCTACTCAGCCAGTAAGATTCTTATTCTTTAATATATGCTATGATGGGCTCTGAACCTAATTGGCACAGTTTATTTCCAAGTACTTTATATTGTTTTATTTAAGCAAGTTTTGGAAGCCAAGCACATCCATTGATATACATTGTAATTATTTCTTCCTTTTCTCTAAGGTCACATTGGAATTGCCGTTCCTGATGTACACGGTGCTTGTAAAAGATTTGAAGATCTGGGAGTGAAATTTGTGAAGAAACCTGATGATGGTGAGTTTTCTCTTAGTTAAATAATACTTAGCACCCATAGAGGGCGCCGTTGTTGTAAAAATCCTCTGGTCTGAAGTACCCATAGGTCCTGATTTATAATTTGACAACAAACTGCACTTAGAACCATCTGTTTTGAGGGATTTGTTGGTATAGTCACTGGTAATATATACTACATACAGTGCTGCAGCACAGAATTTGCTGATGTTATCATTCTCAGATGTTCACGTGTAAATGTTCAATGTTATGTATATAAAGATACTGATAATAAAGATTGTAATGCAAGCAAACAAGAGAAATGGGTATTTGACTTAACATCAGAACTAATATCAGAGTCACTGGAATGGAACCCCATCACAAGTCAGAGAGTACCTGTAACGGAAGTGTGTTTCAAACCAGCTTACGCACAAAAGGGAAACTACCGGTAGGACATACCTTAGGGGTCCGAAGAGCAGGTGGCCTCACAAAGGGCTAGAAGCAGACCCTTGAGCGCTGTTAAAACCTAGGCCACTTCTCCCATCCCACTGAACCCAGCACACTCTGTCTACCAACCCAGCCTCAACCCACGGCCATCGAGGCAGTATTGACTCACAGTGACCCACTGACAGGTTTCCAAGGCTAGTGGTGCACGGGAGTAGAATGCTCAGTCTCTCTCCCATGGGGCTATTGGCAGTCTCCCACCGCAGCCCAGCACGTAACCGCTACATGCCCGGGGCTCCTAACTGCCGACCGGCTGTCACTTCTGTCCATGTCTTTGTGATCACCCCGGGTGTTTTTATGGTTCCTATAGTTTATTTAAATGAAACAATGAGAAGACATAGAGGCAGCCACAGGCAGCTGGCCAGAATCCTTGTGAATTACAGATGCAGACTGGCTGGAGAAGGGTCCTTATGTCTTTTGATATGGCGTGTATGTACATGTGGCTGGATTTGGACTTATTGAAATTATTTTACTTATCTCTCCTGCCATCTTTTTTTTAAATCATTTTATTAGGGGCTCATACAAGTCTTATCACAATCCATACATACATCAATTGTGTAAAGCGCATTTCTACATTCATTGCCCTCATCATTCTCAAAACATTTGCTCTCCACCTAAGCCCCTGGCTTCAGCTCCTCATTTTTCCCCTCCCTCCCCACTACCCCCTCCCTTTTGAGCCCTTGATAATTTATAAATTATTATTTTGTCATATCTTGCCTTGTCCGACATCTCCTTTCACCCACTTTTTTGTTGTCCGTCCCCCAGGGAGGAGGTCACATGTAGATCCTTGTAATCGGTTCACCCTTTCCAACCCACTCTCCCTCCACCCTCCC